TATATTATCATATGAACGCCTTTTGATATTTAAGACTTGAAAAAATTCAACCATGACACTTTATGTGAGTTAATTATATATTTTCATACTTTTTAATTATACTATTTTCATACTGCCTAGGCGTTAAAATGACGTGTTTATATTGTCAATCACGTCGCAACAATTAATACTTTTGTAACGTTTGAAAAAAAATGTTTAAGTAGGATGCATTTTTCTCAAAATAAGTAAATAAAAATGTGTTTCTTCTTGTAAATACAATCCGAGGACATACTGTATAATATATATGTACATAATATGACAAAAGATTATGTATGTGAAAAAAGATTTGATTTTTATGCGTATATACAGGGTGAGTCTTAAATAAGTGCAAATATTTTTAGGGGTAGTATATTTCGATCCAAGAAACACGATTATGAGTTTTTTCTCGCAATATTTTTAAAAATTTTTTTTTGGAAAAAATTTGGAAATTTTTTTACTTTTTAATTAAAAAACGTTTGATAACATGGCAACGTAGGTAGTAGATTATATTTACAAGAAATAAATCTTAGAAAAGGTCCAGTGGTTTTCAAAATCTAATCAAAACCTATTTTTTGGAAATTTTCAAAGTAAAACAACTGGGTTATTTTGGACTTATTTGAAAAACGATAAGGAGAAAATGTTTCTTTTATCGAGATCTATCACCCCTGAAAATATTTGCTTTTACTTATTTAAGACTCACCCTGTATAACAGTAATAAGCTTTGGCATAAGCAATTGTAGATCACCTGTAAAGGCGGACTCTGACGACTTGTGTACTTTTACAAACATTTGTTATTGGCATATACTTGCCATATCGTGTGAGCGGTTTCCTTGTGCAATTATTTGTCACTCGTAGCGCTGCGTGAGTGCCAAGCTTGTTGCAAAAAATGTTGTTTACAGAGGAAGCATACTTGCCAAGTACACGAGTCGTGAGAATCTTAAGAAATCTATACTAATATATAAAATCGATAAGTGACTCACTGATTAATCACGATCCTGCTCAAACCACTCAACGTAAGAAGCTCAATTTTGGCATACAGGTTGATTCTAGGTTGAAGAGGTTCGATAAGAAGGGATTTTTCGAAATTCCAGTTCCAAGGGGGTGAAACCACCCCTCAAATATTACAATATTTTTTATTTAGAAAACGTTTATATATTTTTTTAAATATATAACTATATATATATTTATTTATATATTTTTTTAAATATAACTATAATATATTTTTTTAAATAAAAAGAAAATTTCCGAAAAAATGCTTAAACACGTATATTTTATTTTATTTTTTTACATATTTTAAAATTTTTTAAAAATGTACACAAGGTGTTTCGAAAAATCTGGTCATTGATTAATCACGAGTCTGCTTAAAACGCTTGACGTAAAAAGCTGATTTTTGGAAAACGGATTGACTTTAGGGTATAGAGGTTCGATAAGAAGGGATTTTTCAAAACTCGAATTCTAAGGGGGTGAAACCACCCCTCAAATATTAGAATATTTTTTATTTAAAAACCGGTGAGTTTTTCGGAAAAACTCTTAAACACGTATATTTAATTTTGTTGTTTTACATATTTTAAGATTTTTTAAAAATTTATACAGGGTGTTTCATGAAATATAGCCATTGTGTAATCACGATTCTGCTTAAACTGCTTGACGTTTAAAGCTGATTTTTGGCAAACGGATTGACTGTGGGGTGTAGAGGTTCGATAAGGAGGGGTTTCTCGAATCTCAAATTCCAAGAGGGTGAAAAAGCCCCTTAAATACTACAATATTTGTTATTTAAAAAACGGTTAGTCTTTCGGGAAAACGTTTGGACACGCATAATTTATTTTGTTTTTTTACATATTTTGAATTTTTTTAAAAAATCATACAGGGTGTTCCATAAAGTTGGGTAATTGATTAACCACGATTTTGTTTAAACTGCTTGACGTAAAAAGCATATTTTTGGCAAACGGATTTTTCGAAAGTCAAATTCCAACGAGATGAAACTACCCCTCAAATATTACCAAGTTATATAATAATAGCGCCATATTGTTTTTTCTAATGCTAACATAAATGTGAGAAAACTTTATCCAGTTTTTATGTTAATGGAAATTCTTGCTTTGTTTTATCATCACCATTACAAAAATGATTAATTCGACGCGAATGAAGTCGCGGATACACGCCAGTAATAGTATATAAAGAAAAACTTTTTGCTTAAATAAAATTCTTCAAGCATATTAGAAAGTTTTATTGAACTGTAAGTAAATAAACAATGACAATTTAACGAATTTCTTTATTCCAAAAGCCCAATCCGCTTCGCAATCCATTACAATCGTACCTAAGAAATATATACGATCACAGTAGTACCATAAATACGCGCGGGAACAAAAAACAAAACAACGGAGTCATTCATTAACCGTCGAACCGCGAGCTTCATACAACTTAATTTCTTAGCGAAAGTTTGCACAATGCATCGCAATAAATTTAAGGTACTCCATACATGGCCGGTCCGTGTTAGGAATAGCCAACATCTCAGTCAGCGCTATCGTACAATGTCTGGCAACGCGGTGAGACTATACAGTGTCCACAAAAATGTCGGAATTAAATTTTTTTACAATTTGTAGACAAAGGTAAAGTAAACAAACAAAAGAAAATCCAAAACAAGTATACAAATTTCATTGTCAGTCTTATAGTTTAAAATAAACATTTATAAATGTTTTCAATGTCAAAAATTAAAAAAAAAAAGAAAAACAATATTCAAAAATATTTAGTAAGTTTATAGTAAATATAGTAATAGCACAGATAACACATAATCTTATCTGTGGTAATAGCAAATATTAGACCAGTGTTTACAAGATCAAATTCGATTATCAAAATATAAGTCATTTACGGCGTAGAAAGCATTGTCTAGTAAATAAGATTTCGATGCTTTGCGAAATAAAGAAAATGATGTTTTAGATTTGATTTCAAATGGCAGGTGATTGTGCATTTTTTTTGGTTTGGTTTGGTTTGGGTTAGTTTTAGAAATGTTGAGACTCAGGAGGTTCGAATCGCACCATTTAATGGTGATTAAGTCATTTGATATAATCCGATGAAGTGCCGTGACGTCCTTATTGCTCCAAGTGAAGCTATTGTCGTCTGCAAAAAGACATATTTTACCACTGAAGTTTATGTTAGCATTGTCGTTAATAAAAAGAAGAAACAAAATAGGGCCTAGTACTGAGCATTGAGGTACTCCACATTCTATTGGCTTGCTAGAAGACAACGTGGTGTCGACCCTCACAAGTTTCTCACGACCTTCTGTTTCTCAAAGAGGGTCCACATTTAGTAACATGTTATATAACATTGCTATTTAACAAGCTACATGTAACATGTTAAAAAACCGGGAGCCGTCCACATTATAGTTTTCGTAGTCATAAATCGTTTTGGCGAGAAAGAGGTTCAGCTCGCAGCAGCGGCGTGCGTAATTATTTTTGAACTAAGGGAAAGAAAGTCGAGAAAAAAAGCGGTTTTCAGTCCGCCATAGCCTACCAGCAAGATCTAGATACAGTTGAACTCAATTAGCTTATCTTTTCAATACTTGCCTCGGCTGTTTCTCGTGGTGTCGTCTGTCTTTTAAAAACATTAATAATTTACAGTACGTCTCGTCTCCTGGATCTGTGTCTATGAAAGGAATGCGGACAAAAAACATTTAAATAAACAGCAATATATTCTATACGTCGATTTGACGAGTGCGTCACCGCAAATCGCTCCGCCCACTCATTTTATTGGCTACTTGCAAATTTGTCGAATTTTTATTGATGGGACGCGTCGTCTATTTTTTACGAAAAACATCGAGAGAATATCGTTTCCCCTCTCACGGATACCCCGTAGCTACAGAACGAACAGAGGTACTGTAAAAGCAAAAGCAAACCATTTTGAATTATCCACTTCATCTAAACCATGCAGTTCCTTATTTGCATTTCTTTTGTTCCCGCTGGAACTGGCCTATTAGATTACGCATTTTTTCTCAACTTTTTCTGTTTCCAAATACATACTATGAAATGAAAATCGCTGTCATTTTATATGGAAAATTATATGGGGAATGTCATCGATCGTCATGTCCAAGCCAACTGGACGGGAGGCCGACGGGAGCAGTTTTTTTCGATCATACGGTATTATTGACCAGTAAATAAACAAACCAATATCAGCTCACCACACTAAGATTCTGTCGCGCACGTCCTTGAAAATATGAGCGGCTAAACTAGAAATTTAGCAAGTGTGGACGCGTTGTTTCATGTTACAATAGCAATGTTGCACAACATCTTTTGATCTTTACCGACTACAAATGGATAACATCTAGCAAGTTATATAGCATCGAAATTTGCTAAATATAACTAAAAAATATGTAACATGTTATATAACTTTGCTATATAGCAATGTTATATAGCAAGCGTGGACCGTCCTTCACATACGACTTAAACCATTCGAGAGATGTTCCCCTAAACCCATAGTGCTACAGTTTATTAACTAAGATCTTATGATTTACACAGTCGAACGCCTTAGAAAAATCACAGAAAATTGTTGCTGTAGAATGATGGTTATTTAGGCTGGAGTAAACTTTATTAAGGAGGGAAAACATAGCGTCACTTGTGGACTTGTTGCTTAGAAATCCAAATTGATGTTCAGTAAGTATTTTGTACTTAAACAGAAAAGATACCAGCCTTCTTTTAACCAACCTTTCTATGATCTTAGATACCCAAGTAGCACAACAATATTGTTCCAAGATTGATCCAATGTAGAATATATATTGGGCCAAGCTAGTTTTTAATATCGGGCCAATAATAATTCGTCACTTTTTGATATATTGGCCCAACATTGTTTTTAAATATTGGTCCAACAAGTTACTAAAATATTGCCCCCATTAAAAATGTAATATTACGCCAACATTGGTAATCATAATACCACTAGTTTTTGTCCTTAATTTTATTTCAAATTTAGGGAAAACATAAAACAAAATACCCATGTGTGTATGGAAACTTTAATGTATTGAAGAAAACAATTTATCTTACAAAAATATTAACTAAGTAATAAAATAAGCCTACATATTATCTTCATGGCTGGTATTATTTTTAGCTAAAAATACTTCAGTTAACACATAAAATTAAATTTATAAGGACACAAACCTCTAAATATTCTTCCCCCATCCCGGTCTCCGGCTGTCGCTAGTGAAATACCAATACATCGCGTAATGTCCAGATCAGTTGCGTCTGGAAAATGTACTTTCACTGCATCTATAAAATAATATAAAGTTTTTGGGTTATCCTTTTGTGTTTTGCCTTATTTTCTAATATGATGAGATGATATGCTCATAATATGGTTTATGCAAAGTGGCAGAAACTTAGAAGTAGGAGCGTTTTATTCAGTGGTGCAACTAGTTGTTTATGGTTTACATTGTGTGTAAGAGCCCAACATTTTAAATTATCTGCAAGTGAATTCTGATTATGATTTTCTAACACATTTGATATGGAATCGTAATTTAACTCTACAGTCTGTGTATTGCTTGCCCCCAAGTCCCCCGACTCTTCAAAAACAAAACTAAGACAGCTATCACTATTATTAACAATATTAGTAAGTTGTGTGTTAACTTCATTAATAGAACTTGTATTATCGTCTGATAGAAGTATAATGCTCTCCTGGCTTTCCAGGCGTTTCGTAGGACTGTCACCGTCAGACTCATCTTTATTTGCAAGAAAACTTTTAACAAACCTGTATTTTTTTGCCTTTCCCGACATTTACCTAAAAAATGTCTGTTTATTTACCTAAGTAGCAATACCGAATCTAAAAATATTTATTAACAAAGCGTCCTAACAATCTAATAAATTATACTCTCGATTACACATTGCTTCAAAACTACTATTGTGTGTTACAGGAAAAAAAAATATATTAGGTACTTACTTTTACTAAAGAAATATTCTTCAAGCTGGATTCAGTAAAATTTTCTGTGGTTGTAAGTTGTAAACCTAGGTACCCGTGAACCTACAAACAATACAGCTTATAGCTATAGCACATATTTCTTGTATTATACGTGTTAATTGTTAAGCATTGGAATAGGTTTATTCGACATACTTACTCAACTAACATCAACAGTACTTACTTTGATTTGATCACGATAAAAACACAATTTGCTTACAAAAGAAATCTTTCACTGTCACAGCAACAGCTTTTTATGTCATGTCAACTCGTCAGTAAAAGCATAAAATAATTAACTAGAGAGAAGTGTCAACTCTGTGTTAAATCGTGGAAACACGATACGCCACCGAAAGCCTTCGTTGTCGTCTGGAGAACTAATTTTCCAATTGACAGGTTGACATGATAAGGACATGATGGCTTAATTTTCACTTCCGTTTCCGGTTATTTAATGGCGGGCCCTCTTTCAGTTCAAATGTATTTTGTATTTTTTCTTTTCATAAATAAAACCAAAAAATAATTTATTCACATATATTTATTTGAAGTATGGAACAACGTGACTAAATAAACATAAAAATATAGAGGATTGTATTGTTTCAATACCAATTAGTTAATTATATGTACTTTTAACGTAAATTAGTTAAGGTATAAGCATGACTTACAGTAATTTGTAAATAAACACACGTATTCGCAGACTTCAAGGACAGAAAACGGACACAGGGACATGAAAACGGGAGCCTTATACAAAAACCTGAAAACAGAAAAACAAATTTTTTTATACTAAAATTAACAATCTAAAAATATCAATAGGTATAAAATATAAATATACTGTTTAAAAAAGCGTCCATTATTCCCAAAGAGACCTGGCTTATAAATCAAAAAGAAGCAAAAAGAGACTTTTAGTCGGATAACATAATCAGATTATCAGTCCGATTTATTGCATTATTGACAATAAATCGCACATATTGGAGATAAATGATGTTGGCTATAGTTAAAAATGATCTTACCTTGCTGTAAATTGTTTCCATTTTCAAAAAAATCGCCGATCAAAGAGATTATAACACCATTTTCTTGCATCTAAAAAATGTAAAAACAGTGTTTATTTACTACCTATTTTTCATATACATGGGACATACCTACTACGGCAGAAACGTCATTTTCTCCAGGATTCTTCATGTAATATATATTTTATATACTTTATTACCTTTATAATTATAAATTTCAGCCGAAATATTAAATTGAACTTCCAAAACGAAACTAAACGGAATGAATTAAAATGGCGTCGAATATTTTCGACACAATTTTCGAATTTGTTCTAGAACAAATCTGAAGTTGTCTCTGAAACTGAAATCTGTCAATTCTAAACTGTGAAGTTAGACAATAGTTAGACAAAAACAATGCTGTCCTTGTCTAGGCGGCCATACTTGTCGTGAGGAGAATGACAGGAATGACACTAATGACTGTTTCCAATTTTCCTATTTCACTGTCACCCCCCTGAGTAAAAGCGTCTAGGTCAGCGTTGCCAGGTGTCGGATATGAAATTATGGATCAATGTAGATCAAAGTATCGAATTTATTATAAAATTATGTTACAAGCGATATATTTGGCTGAGGAATTCTCTAAAAAATATAATGATAGCAATAAATTTGGATTCTATTTTTGTCGGTTTAACTTAATTTTAATAGGTTTCAACCAGCTATTAAACGTATTTTCTCAGTCAGTTTTATATTTTGGGGTCTGGTTTCTCTTCCCGCATTTTAAAATCGGAATTACTTGACTTGCCGCGGATATTTACTGCTTTATACCTTAACATTTTTTTTAAACTTTAAAACCACTTGAGTTATTTTGCATTAACTACCTTAAAGTTAAATTATTTCTCATAAAAATATACTTCATGGTTGATAAAACATTAATTGTAATTGTAATAACATAAATTGTAAGAGGTTACCAAATTATGTTTCAACTATCGATTATGGTACAGATTTTTTTTGGGAAAATTTTGTTATAATAATTGGATAATTATGTTACATCTGGCAACACTGATCTAGGTACCGGAACGCGGCCCGGCGCGCGGCGATTCCAAAGCATCACCCGGCGCCGGCGCATGCGTATTGGAACGGCAGAAGAAAGTAATGCTTCAATAGAGTCTGGTTTCTAAAGCAGCGTGTAGCTCCGTGGTTGAGGCTGCCGATTCGGGAGCGACGGGTGATGGTTCGAGCCCCGGCAGAGGCAGAGCTTTTTTTTTATTTTTTTTTTCAGCTGTTTTTAATTATTTAAAATAAATTAAAATACGCCAAATCGCCTTGGTTAGTCTTTGGTGTAAGTTTTTTTTTTATTTATAGATTACACGCGAAATACCCGATCGATCCTTGGCATCGATCTTGGCTTTAGGAATCGAGCAAGAATTTTAAAAGCAAACTTTTATGAAAATCATGAGATAGTAGGGATGCAAGCCACATGTCAAAGTATCAACCCAGGTATCGATATCTACTATAGGTAGCGATTTTATTCTAAACAGAATGCATTTCAATATTGTTCCAATTTAGTTAATTATGTAAATGCCAATATCCAAAACATCAATATAAAAGGCATATTGGGCCAATGTCACAATAAAATATTGTTAATGCCAATCATGGGCCGACATTGATTATTTTCAATATTGGCGAAAACTAAGAAACTAATATGGGTACAATATTGTTTACCAAGATTAGATGTACTGAATAAAATACAATATTGACCCAACATTGGCACAACATTGATGTGCGAACGAAAATGAATCAATATTGAGCCAATATAGAAACAATGAGCAGCCAATATTTCGTGCTACTTGGGTAGTGTTGGAAGGAGGGCAATTGGGCGATAGAGAGAAGCTTGAACTGAAAACAATATCCCTTTGGAAGCTAAAGATTCTCTTCTTAACAGCTTTGTATTGTGAGGGGTGAATTTCACAATCATTTGGGGTATTGTTTGACTGTGAATGGGGGATGTAAACATTTTATTAAACATTTTATTAATTAGAACAATTTAATAAAGTTTGTTTAGTTACAAATATTTTTTTTATTTGTTAGATTATTGTGGATGTATGTGGTATGAGCGAGGCCTGATTAACTCTCAAACAAGTCATACACCGTCAATACTAGTTCAACTGAGTTCTACTATCACTCAGTCACGATACAATTCAGAAAAAAAATAGCCACCTTTCTTAAACCACAGAAATACTTGTAGACAAAAAAAAATGTGGCATCGAATTTGACAATGACAAAATCATATTTTTGCTGGTATTTTAATTTTAGCTTTCTCTGGGCCGTATTGTTTATTTGCAAATAATGTTTAGATGCCTATTCCATATAAAATTAAATTCTAGACTACAGTACAACTTTAACGCCTCTTCAAAAACGTCTAATAAATTTTTTATGTTCCGATGCACCACACGGTACCTAGAATTTAATGTGCGAATTGAAAAATGTAAACATATATTTTTCTACAGGTAATAATAATGCATTTCATTTTAAAACTATATTATGCATTCTACTTTTTACATATTAACTCAACTTTAACAATATTTTAATGTTTCTTTTTACAACTATATATTTTTTGTTTCTATACAAGTAACGGTGTGTAAAATTCATAGAATTTGAAAGTCGCTTCTATAGTATTAGTTGTGGCTATATAGTAAGAAAAATTGCTATAAATTATGAATGTAATTTCTAACAGTTTCATTAATATAATTTACAAAATTTTTTTGGAGTTATTTAATATTTATTGTTTTAAAATTTACAAATTATGAAACACAGCAAATATACTTAAAAATCCGTTTTAGATTGTCTTGCTATAGTATAGTCTTGTCGCTAGAACACTATAAATCTACCGTAGCAGTATGTTAATACTTGTTAAGTCCTTATAGAGATTTCCGTTCAAATTATATATTCTAGTGTAACTACTACTACTACCTATTTTCGTTTCTTCTTTAGGAACGGCTGAATCTCTCCTGCAGAATATTTATGTAACTGATTCTTCTTTTTTCCTTCTCAGAATAGTAAATAGTAGAAACAGCGTGAAGCTGTAATCGGTTTATTGGATACAGAGCTGCAAGTTCACAGAAAATTTAAGTATTTTTTTACTTAAATCATTTTAATGACTTAAGTCATTTGATTTAAGTAACTTTAAAATGATTTGTGAATTCGATTGTTTTGATAACCTAAACAGGCCGTCTATTTTGAAAAATTAAATATTGTGTTTCTTACTAGTTTTTCCATATGAAATTAATTATAGAATATATTATATTGTAAAGTCAGATGGCATCACCTGTGGAAAATCTTAAAGGAAGTAGGGGTACCGCAACACCTTATTTCACTTATCATCTAGTTGTATCAGCATTGTTTAACAGTCATTCAGTGTTTTTATTGTTTTCTGTTTCCCTATTTTTATGTGTAAAGTTGCCTTTGGTTATTGTACGTTAAGAGTCTGTCTGTCAAAAGAAGATGAAAGAAGATGGCGGAATAATAAAGTTGTCAGTAATAAGTCCGCTGTTTTAATACAAGTTTTTAATTGCAATAGTAATACCTCTGAGTAATACTATCAACAAAGAAAAAGTTCAATCTTCAACAAGCACACTACAGGATAAGTTAGAATACTGGATTCAGCTTCAAAGGAATTTTCCCTTGAGCAAGGAGTCAGACAGGAGTGTATATTGTCTCCTCAACTATTTAACATATTGTCACAAAATAGAAATCAACAACAAAGTTGATTTCTATTTTGTGATATTGTTGCGAGCCGGTGTGGACTCGACCTAACCTCACAATATGGCCCGCCGTCGGATGACCTTAACATCGCATAGACACCGCAATGATTCATTCGTTCGAGAAGAATCGAGACCCACTAGAATGGACTAGTACATACGAGAACATTCGAAAACCTTCTCTATGCGCCTAACGATCTATGGACTATTCTAGATTTCTTTTACCTGTCGGTATAAAAGCCGGCGGCAGTGGCCTAGAGAGGGCAGTTATAAAAAATATACAGTTGACGCGCTAAAATTCAAAATAAATTCTTAGTTATAAATCGTTTGTAAATAGTTCTATAAGTCTTTTATCTTTATTATTTTTGTTATTTAGTGTTAAATAAATAATGTTTAAATAAATTGTGACTTTCTATCCACACGGAACCGACGAAAAACGTAACAATTGGTGTCAAGTGTGGCGTGTGTGATAGACTAGAAGAATAAAAAGACTGACCATGGCTCTGAAAAAATTGTTGAAAGACTTGAAAGTGTCCGAACTG